CGAGTTGAATAATCCGGATAATCCGTGAAATCCGGATTTACTAAATCCGGATTTGACAAATCCGAATAATTCGGATTTTTGAAATCCGGATATGCCCACCACTAATACCTATACATATATACGCCATATATATCGTTGAAGGTTCAAGCAGGTACCTAATTACCTAAATAGACCCTATAGAGGGCTGGAGCTGGAACCCGACTGAGCACGATTGACCTTTTTCACAACCCGATTGAGCATGGTTGGAATCGAACAATAGAAACCCAAAAAAACCCCAAAAACAACACGATTGAGCACGAAAATAGGTGCGACGTTGCCATTGTGTATCGTAGAATATTATTTTTAAAAAATAAGATACATTTGAATGTAAATGTTTAAAAATAAAAATCTTTTATTGGATTTTAATCACATATTATTACATATGTACGTCAATTAGTTTATTATATTATATTACAATTACAATTTATTCCGCTAAATACTGAATATAAAAATATATAATATAAAAAAATGTTGAAAAAATACCAATCAAAATGAATTAAAAAATAAAAATTTTAATTTTTTTTCCTAAATACGTACTTATTTACAATTTTAAATAAGTATTTAAGTAGGTTATCAACATTTTTTAATTCAGAGTACTCCTGATAAGCTCCAACATTTGCCAACTTTTTACCTCTCTCGGATAAAATAATGTTTATTTCATTATTTTCCATCATAAAATTTGCACACTACCGCACTACGAGCACGAGGCAACAGAACCATAGACTGACTGTGACCAAGTCTTATTTACAGCATAGGTACATACCATAACAGTTAATCACAATTTAGTGCAATCGTTGTAGATAAAATTCTGGTTTCCTATCTATCTCAGTTATTTTCAACTTCCGTGGGTATACCTACTCATCGATCGATAGCAAAATCGTTTTCGACTATAGTCGAAAACTAACATATAATTACTAACATATTATAATATGTTAGTAATTACCTATTGGTAATATCTACACAACATACGTAGGTACTAGTGAAATTCTGACAACGTTGTACCCAATATTTTTTTTTTTATCGTGCTCAATCGGGTCGTCTAAAAGCTCGGGCGATAACGACCGTGCTCAATCGGGTATCGTAGACGGAATAGTAAACCAAGTAAAAACCCACTAAAAAAGTGTTATAGTCGTCCATATGATAAAAAAACTAAGGTAAACAAATAAGTATTTAATAACTTAAACATTTAGTCAAGGGCTTTTACCACTAAAAATTGTTTTAATCAAAACGGTTTGTGTAAAATACATAATGTAGTAAGGGTGTAACCACAAACCTCGGGTTTTCAGTAATAATTACATAACTATTTCAGGTACTTAAGTACTTCAAATTAATTTTAATTAAAAATAAATAATTATTATTAATTAAATTGTATTAAAAAAATGTATTTTTCTTGCAGTTTTATTTTCCTCCTGAACAATTTCAATTATGTAGGCCTTTTCAAGTTTCAACAAAACACCGTCAAATTGTCTATACGGTATACCGTATATAGTTATCAAGAAATTAAGCCGTAAATTATAATATTAAATGTACCTAATGTTAAAAAATATATATATTCGTGTAAGTACTATTACCTTTAACTTGAGGTAGGAACCTATTGTTCTTTTTAAATGCCTAAACTTTTGTTTAAACCGGAAAAGTTGCGTGAAATGTATAGTTAGTCTCAAGTATAAATTGTCTTTGAGTGTACATATAGGTCACTGTAACTATAAATGAATGTGTCAAATTTGAATTAAATGTGTAAATCATTGCATACACTTACGATAAACGATTCTGATTTCTCATCACAAAGACGGTCTATACATGCTTAAAACATCAATTATTTTTCCTACATAACCTAATAAAGGGGATGATGAGTTCATACATATTTTTAAAATAATAATCGGACATCGGGAAGTACATAAACTAATGTTCCGCTTATAGCTATTTTGAACCGATTTGACGATTTTTTACGATGACACGATAATAGCCCAGATAATTGATTACACACACTAAGGTTCATTTACTACTCACACAATGACAAATATTTGCCAATAATATTTTTTCACAATTTCTTAAATTTTACTACTTAAAATATTCTATGCTCCATTACCCTTAATTTATAAGCTTTTAATAGGTACTCACATAGTCACATATATCATAGAATTGTGTGAATATGTTTGTTCTACAAATAGCTTGAAATTAATAGACTATACAGTAGGTATAGTAAATACGTCTATAAAGTATAGCCAGTAAAGGCTATAGTAATAAAGAAATAATATATTAATAATATAGGCACAATTTTTTTTTATAAGCATTTAAAGATTAAATTTTGACAAAATTTATCAAATTTAAAATTGTATAATTATGTTGTATAGTTAAAAATGTATAAAATGTTCAACTTTTATATCGAAGGATTGAAAATTTAAAACAAGATTTCATGTAAGTAGTTAATTCTGGTACCAAAAAATCTAAAAAATACACAACCTCAGTTTATTTTTATAGGTCACGTATTTTCGTAGGTCACGAATATTTGTATAATACTGGTAAATAAAATAACTCAAACTATAACAGTAAGAAATTGAGTTAACCCCCCCTCCCTCTGGACACATGACACATCTCAATTTTAGATCAGGGAATTTGCAATTTTTTTTTAAACCCCCTCTCCGCAGTTCAAAACTCCTGAGCTCTGGAAGGTAACTTTTTTATACTTAAATAATTGTTAAATTGTATACGCAATATACAATATACGTATAGTAGGTATATACGACCCAACTAGTACCTACCTAAGTATAGACTATACTAATTACTACTATTATATATATATATCTATATATATAGACTATATATATAGACTATAGACGTAAAGTATCTAGGTATATTATTATAATTTATAATCTATATAGCATTATAGATGATATATTTCCTAACGTTGCAAAAAATAAATTATATAAATAGGTAGGTACATAAATACATTCATATAATCATATATCATATATTATACCAGATACTTCATTATTCATTACACATTTCTATAGTTTTAAAGGTTTACAGACTACAGTTACAGCATTATCGCAAGTCTGCACGACTGCACTCTGTAAGTTGCACTTGCAACACATAAAAACATGAATGTCATTCACCTTTTTATTTATTTTAAATATTGTTATTTTCCCAAAATATATCGCCAACGACCATACCACGTTGAATACACCAGTTCTCGTCCGATCACTGAAGTTAAGCAACGTCGGGGGTAGTTAGTACTTGGATGGGTGACCGCTTGGGAACACTACGTGCCGTTGGCATTTTTTAAATTTTTTAAAAAAATTTTAATTTTAAAAATATAAAATTATGTTTTTTTGGCTTTCAAGCATTTTTGAAGAACTCCTTCCTGCTTAGGAGGTGATCCAACAAAAATTTGTCTTTAAGTAATTTAACTTGTATACCTATATAGTTTGTTGGAGAATTAATAAATATTATTATTATATTATTATTATATTATTATTATAATTATTTAAATAATAATATTATTATGTCCCATACCTACGCAATGAATTCATTTTTTAATTACCTATACAATTCAAGGTTTGAGTGATGGGGTTTTGATTGTGGAAATGTTAAAAAACTAATGCCTTACAAGAATACTAGCTAGCTCTTCGATCGGTCGTTTCACAAAAGAAAAAAGTTTGCACTATAAAAAAATTTAGTATAACATTTTATAATTTAATTATATTTATTTTATTAATTGTTTTTATATAGGATCTTCGATTCCTCACAACTAAAAAAACATTATATTTTTTATGGGGGGGGGCTAATGGGATATATTTCCACCCAAGTGTATATAGTATATTAATAAACGATTTAGCAGTGGCGGGTATACGGGGGGGGGGGATATGGGGAATAAATCACCCCGTGGGCCGTGGGTTAAAAAAATTTATTGAAAACCTTAGTCACAGTTTTTTATTTATAAGCATTTAAAGTTTAAAAATTGACAAAATATGGAAAAATCACGAACATTATTTTGAGTAAGAACTCGTAAAAATTTTTCTTTTTAAATTTAAGGTTTTAAAATGTAATACAAGATTCCTTATAAGAGTATCTACCTTTATCAAAAAAAAAATGTCTATAAGAAAGTCAAATTAAAGTTTTATGAGCGTTTGAAATTCAAATTTTTACAACATTGGATATTCACTCGATTTCTCATGTAGCGATTTCCTTATTTTGTTGTAATTCAAAAACGAAAACTGTAGATACATGAAAATTTCACTGAATGTTTAAATTACCATTTTCTATACACCAAACAATTTTGAAAATATGTGGACTCATTTTGAGCTGTTTACAGACATTTTCAGTTTCCAATTTTTTTATTTTTTTATTCTATAAATATCAATAAAGTTTTATGTGTGGGCCAAAAAGTGTAAAAATTTAATATAAGGCTATTATATAGGTATTGTTACAATATCAGTTGAAAAATATTATAAATACATAGGCACAATTTTTTTTTATAAGCATTTGAAGATCAAATTTTGACAAAATTTATCAAATTTAAAATTCAATAATTATTTTGTAATTAAAAATGTATAAAATATTCAACTTTTATACCTAAGGATTGAAAATTTAAAACAAGATTCCACGTAAGTAGTTAATTCTGTTACCAAAAAATCTAAAAAATACATAAGCCCAGTTTATGTTTACTTTGTCACTGTATAAAGTGGCGGCACTGTTATCATAAATATGATAATAATATTATCAAGTAGGTATCAAAACATTGAAATTTAAAACAACAGTAAAAAAGTTTGTGAATGTGAATTATTGAAATATTATTCGGGAATCAAGGGTCACAATTTACAAATTACTCAAACCGACTACTGCAGTAGTGAAGTCCATGTTTTCAGAATACCTGTATATTCCCATTTTTAAACAATTTAGTATTTACTTTATTGTTCAGTTGAATAAGTAAAACATTTTATCTTCAACTTATGTAAGTTATGGAAAATTCAGAAAATCAATCTATCAGAGTCGGATTGTTAGAAGAGGAAGCTCGAAAACGCAAGGAACGATTGGCAAATTTGAAAAAATCTTTAGAAAATAAAAATGAACCAAAAAACAACGAGGACATTGTGGAAAAACCATTACCAAAGTATGTATTAAAAATGTAATATGATTTAATATATGTATTATGATGTAATATGTAATATGATACTTATAGGTTTTTTGTTGTAGGCCAAGGTTTAAAAGTTATATTCCAGAAGATGAAGGGCTTAAAGCTGAACTTATACCTACCCCTCAACCAGGTGACATTGTTGCTGAAGTCGAGGATCAATTAAAAGCTGGAGAAACCGTGTTTACTGTTCAGGAATTGGTAAATTAATGCAGTTAAATACATTTTGATAGACAGTTATACTTTATGAATCAAATCTTATGATTAGATCTGAATATATATAAGTATAACTTATAACTTATAAGTATAATATGAATTATAATTCAGACCATGAATGCTAAATCATTTGCCAATTTTTTTAGTATTTAAAAATGTGCAATTAATTTATAATTTATTGAACAATAAAATAAATTGCTAAAATAATTCATCCTAGCTTGATAAAGATAGGTAGGTTATATTCCTACAGTTTTTCAGTGGCGTGATATCAGTGTTGGGTAGAGCAAAACCAAATTATTTGTCCATATTCTTAGTGGGTAGATGTTATCTCATTGTATCCTATGACACAACCTCCTCAGTTATTATGAATAATATTTTTTATTTTTATTTTTAAAATCTTGTGATTAATGTTTTTATATATATTAACGAGCTGCATTTTTTTTTTTTTTGCGGGCTTACAACTCCTGCTTATTTCGCCTACCCATTGATCCAGCATTGTTATACTATGTAATCTTTTTGTTAAGGGGATTCGATACCGTGATTTTCTGTTTTTGTCTAACACACACGCGACATAGGGTTTTAGACTGGTTCTTTGCCAAATATACCAATTGATCTAATGAAGCGATAAGAATTCTAACCAGATTTGAATTTGTTCTCAAGTCTACTAGAAATCGACTTTCCCACATTTTTGATTTTTTGTTTTTAACTTCTCCAAAAATTAAAATACGACAATTTTTAATTACTCTTTTTTAATATGACATTTTTAGGAATTTGGGGGATAATATCAAACATGTGAGTAAGTCAATTTCAAGTAGACTTGAAGACAAATTCTAATCTTTTTTCAGAATTCTTATCGCTTCAATAGATCAATTGGAATGTTTGATAAAAAACTATGTTGCGGGTGTGTTAGACAAAAACAGAAAATTACGGTATTGAATCCCCTTAAGAATTAGTCCAACCAACCGAATTAAAAAAAATACTAATAATAAATTAAATAAAGTATAAACTAACTGAGAAATAGATGCTGATGTAGGTCCTGTCTCTTTTTGGTCAGAACTGTTTTTAGTATATTTATATTTATTATTGAATTAGATTTTTATTTAATATGTATTTTCATATAATTATTTTAGGATTTAAACACATTAGCACCAAGAAAGCCAGATTGGGATTTGAAAAGAGACATAGAAAAAAGAATGACCAAACTTGAAAGGCGGACACAAAGAGCAATTGCTGAACTAATACGTGATCGATTAAAAGGAGAACAAAATATAGATTTGGCAATGGCCGTAAATGAAGGTGCCAGAGCAAATGCTCAAATTGATAACGACGAAGAGTAGTGTTCTCTTATTTTTTTATTTAATTATTTAATATAATACTAAAATTACATAATTAATAAAGTCAATATAATTCACTTATTTTATAAATAAAATAAATACCTATAATGAAATGATTTTGTCTCGAAGAATAAAATGTTTTAATATGTATAATATATATAATATAAATATTTATTTATTTATTCAAACGGGAACTAATGCTCTACAACAGTTTTAAATATTATACTTAATAAAAAGGTGCATTTTGCCATATGCCATTCACTGTCTAGACATAAGAGTCAGTCTGACACCTAACACGCTCCAATAGATGTTTCACATCAAAATAATTTGTGCATAAAATCTATTAATATAATTACAAAATGTTTGGAAAGAGTTAAAATAAAATAAACCAATTGGGTTATCATTAACTAATTTGATAATATAATGTCTCATATTATATACAATATTTTATGATTTACAATAAATGAAATAAAATAAATAATAAATTATACGGCTTGGAAAATACATTATCCACAAACCACAGTATTTATAAACGCCAAACGGTTATAAAGAATATGAATAATCATTGATTTTACAATGATGAAATTTTTTTTTGTGAGTGTGTGAAGCGTGAATACACTTTTTCTATAATAAAAAATGCTCCAATCATCAATTTCCTTGGAGGTTTCTGGCATAAAATGTGATCTAGTTAGTACTTAAAATCGAAAATTATGCATGAACATTTTTATTTATTATAAATTATAATAAATATAAATAAATAAAAATGTTCATGTATAATTTTAAATACTAACTAAAAAAAATGCCCACCCTGATCCCCCCCAATGACGCCACTGTATTCACGGTCGACGATAACATTCTATATTTGATTTGTTTTGGACCGTTTACGGACATTTTCAGTTTCCAATTGTATTATTTTTTTTTTATAAATGTCAATATAACTATTTGTTGGGTAAAAAAGCTTGAAAATGTAATACGAGGCTCCTGATATATTGTTACAGTAGCAGTTGAAAAATATTTTTATAAGCATTTAAAGTTTGAATTTTGACAAAATACTCAAAAGTTTTTCTTTTTAAATCTAAGATTTTAAAATGTAATAAAAGAATCCTTCTAATCAAATCCTCCTTTATTAAAAAAAAAAATGTATATAAGAAAGTTGAATTAAAATTTTATGAGCGTTTGAAGTTCAAATTTTTACAACATTGGATAGGTATTCACTCGATTTCTCATGTAGCGATATTTTTATTTTGTTGTAATTTTCAAAAATGAATAACTGTAGACACTTGAAATTTATAATATCATATAATGTTTATTTTATCAATTCCTATACTTGATATTTTTTTAAAAATATTTTGACTTGTTTTGAGCTGTTTACGGACAATTTTAAATTTAAATTTTAGATTCTGAGCAAAGAAAGGAAGCTATAGTGGTTTTACAATGGTTACAAGTGTTTATTTGTTATTTTTTTTTTATCCTGTAAACAAAATTTCTACCAGAAGGAGTGCTCGATTTCAACATATAGTACCTAATATTTTAGCAAATTGCATCAAGATAGTACTCTTTAAAGAGGTAATTTTTCGATTTTTTCAATAGTTATTTAATGCCAAGGAAGAAACCACCGAAAAATTACGAAAAACCGCTAAAAATGAGATTTTCATTTCTATCGATTTGTTTATCACCATAGAAACGAATAAAAAATAATAATCTATATATATAAAAATGGAGACAAAAAATTCGAAATTGCATCAGTTGAGAACGGCTAGACCGATTTTGCTCAAATTTTTTTTAAGATGTTCGTAATTGCCAGGTGAAGGTTTCTACGAAAGAAAATTTTTAAAAAGTCAACCGAATAATTAGAAAAACTGCAAAAACTATTTATTGATGTCTGAGATTTAAACTGTATACCGTTGTCTTTATTTACTCTATGGTGTATTATATTATATTGGTTGCTATTGGTTAATCGGGCATGTTTGTTGATTTGTATTATTATTTTTTGTAAATATATCTTATATATAAATGAATGACGGTGTGTAGATTAGACCTATGGAAAAAAGATTCGCTAATTTAAAAAGTTTTAAATTTGGTTTTTTTTATTCATCGGATTTTAGTACGGTTATGTTAGGTTAGGATTTATATGTAGGTGGAATTAAGTAAAAACGTCAAACTTGGTATAACTTTGGTACTTTTTGAGGTAAATCATACACTTACGTACAAACAGCACGGGGTCCGCGATCTACCGCAGGTAAATTATCTATCTGATAATGTACTGCTGCAATTCAGAATTTTTATTCCGGGCAACAGAAAAGTTAAGATAAATATAGAACATCATACACCGAATATTAAATAACGCATTGAACAATGTTTGAGTCATATAGAGTTGGTACATTTAACGGGAAACGAAGTGCACGGGATCAGCTAGTAATATTATAATATTAATAAATTCAACTTACAGGATATAATAAATAACAACAATATTAAATATCCAAACTGACAAACTGTCTCCACTTAGAATCGTTTTTCTTATACAATGCTATTAATATTCAAGTTTAATACAATCCATTATACATTGACCCACTTGTAACCTACCGAACAGCAGAGCGACATCCACTTACCTTTTTTTTTTGTTCTTAATGTAAAAAACAAACAGAATAGAATTTCTTATATTTTCTAAGATAACTCTCGGCTTAATAGAAATAGTATTATAGACATTTATATATATTTAAGAATCGATCAGAGTAATTAACGTACACTATTTATTACCTACACTCAAATATCGATCGGCGCAGTTGATGTATAACTTTTTCCTATCCCATAATTGTTCTTTCTTTACCTGCGATTTCCGGCGCAATTGATAAATGCCCAAATATAGGTAGCCTATATTATTAGTACAGCTTTGTATATAGTTGAAAAAAAAATTGCCTACAGTGTACCTAAAATAGTATTGAAGTCATAAATGATCATCCCTCATTTTTAGGAGTATTTAATATTTATATATTAATATATTTTGCCATTTTGGAGGGTTATTTTATTTATTTTTATGGACAAACCGGCTAATAATTGTACCTAGCTTTGTGAAAGGTGTGTGTATTATCGGTGTGCATTTTATCGTTTAAAATGTAATTGGAGTATTGGTGTACGCTCGATGTATGAGATTATTTTTATCGATAAACTTCTCAAACAATTCTTATCTATGCGACCTTTGGACAAAAAGGATAGGTTCAAGTAGCTGGAAACTCCTTTATTTATTAAGTTAGAGAATCAATCAAACGCCATAAACCTTCTCCGCGATGAGCTCTTCAATTTAAAAAAAAAATCATAACGATCGGTTCAGTAGTTTCCGAGAACATATGCCCCAAAGGTTTTCATTTTCACATTTAGATTCGATTTGTAGTAAAAATATAATAATTTAATACCTATTACCTACTGTATATTGTTTGTCAAGGGAGCCCCTAAATTTTCTTTTGCACCACTGCCCTCAGAGTTCAAGATCCAGCACTGATTTCAAATTTAACACCATCCATTAGTGACCCACTAGTGACCTACTGTACAGCAGAGCGACACGCCGACACCCACTCGCCTACCATTTTTTATAGTTATTTCATGTTCAAATTTGGACGAAATTACATACTAAGTAACTTATACTTTATAGTAGTTTATACCTACCTATAATTTTTATCTATATGAGTAAATTGAAAATAAAAGGAAAAAAGTTTTAAATAAGTATATTGAAATCAGCCTATAATATGACTAAGTATATTTGATAATAATATTATTATTGTGATTAAAATAATGTATTTTACTATTAGGCATTAGTAGGTAAAAGTGTAGAACAGTAGGTTAATACATTTCTGCTAAAAAAAATAAGTTTTAAAATGTCTGTGTGTATAAAATATAATAATAAACTCAAACCACAAGTTTCATATTATATTCACAAAAATTATTTTTAAATAATTACAACAAAATAGCTGTGTTTATAAATATTTTAAATTTTAAATTCTTATATATAAAAATTGAACATTTTATAATTTTTCAACTAGAAAATAATTTGAAAATTTTTGAGATTTTGTTACATTTTAAGTTTTTGAATACAGTCGAAATCAGTCGACAGGTTACCATAATTTATAACGAACAAGACGTATAGTTATTAAATAATTTATCGTTTTGTGTTCGTCCGTCAACACTCAAAACAAAACAATGAAAAAAAAAATAAGAAAGTACCTATAATATTTTACTTTAAACACATAGTAGGTATATAGGTAATAAATATTAAATATTATACAGTAATACAATATCGTCTTAAATAAATAATTAAAGTTGAATTAAAATGCAGTAATTTAGAAAGGTAATATTATTATGTTTCTATTTTAAATATTATTTATAAGTAGATACGAACGGACTACGGATAAGGTAAACTTCATTGCACAATCCATAGTATTATTATGGAATATGGAGTATTTATTCTGTGGTAGGTATTAGTATTTATTTATCTAGGTAATCTAAGTATCATATAATATAATATTCTTAATTATTATAATAATATGCACACCTGTTATGGGTGTACATGTAATCCATCACTGACTTAGTAAACATAAGGACTAATAGTGGCCAAATACATAACGTTAATTTATAATGAAAAAATAAGTTAAAGTACAACTGATTAGATAAAACTTTTTTAACGTAATTAAATAAGCTACTCGAGTAAATATTTTCAAATTCATCGGAATTAGAGATCGAATATTCCGTATATTTTAGTCATATCTATTTTTTAAGTGGTCTTAAATAACAAATTGTTAGTTGCTATTAAATACTCCGCTTTGATAATATAAGAACACGTCAATATGGTACTTCTTAGATAATGCGATCGAGACAAACATAACAATATAATTAGGTATAGGTATGGTTTTCTTTTTATATTCATATTATAATGATGCGATGTGATGAAATAATAATAATTAATTTTTGTTATCAATGGGCAGGTATTATTTTTTTAAGGACAACATTATTTTTTAATCTTAGTATATTTTACTAATACTTACAATGTCAATTCTATAGGTTATATTAATAATATCAGAGAATAATGAAAGTAAAATATTACATATGCTGTAGAATGTAGATGGATATTTATTATATTAATTATTATTATATTTAATATAAAATAAAAAAGTCTTCTTCTTAGCAGCAGCATTGGTGGAAATTGGTGCTTAGCCCCCTCCCTTTTTAGTTTTGTAGGATCAAAGCCCCGCTCACATGATGTAATTATGTGGCCCCCTAAAATTTTAATGAATTTCCGCCTATGAGTAGCAGCTTAGTAGAAAACTAACTAATTAATTAGGTACCTAATCTAATCCAATAATAATTCACTAACCCACCATCCACCACAGTTCACAGCTATATAAGTTTCCTTATTGTTCCATAGTTTATAGATAGGTTTATAGGTTTATAGGTACTCTATTATAGCGTATAGGTAGGTACTCAGTCTGTATGTCGTATGATGGTAGGTATTTGGTTATAAGAAAAATGACCACAGAAAAAACCCAAAACAATAAACACGCCTGCTGTAAAATAAATAACATGCGAGACGCGAGTGCCATGTAAACATGAAATTGTACTATCAGTTACGATATCCACTATACGGGTTATGTTTGTGGGGGATCGCCATTTTTTTATATTTTTTAATTTGTCTGTTCGACGGTCCCAATGTTGTGTGGGCCGTGGGGATTCGGACGATTATTCTAATTAGATCTTCGTATGGTAGGGAATTAATTACGGTTTGATCCAGGGATAGACGATACCTATTGCATGGACCGCTAGTAGGTCAGCCACTTCTTCAATACCTGCCAATGATCAGTGTGTGAAGGGACCCACATAAATTCTATAATATTACATTAATGTCGAGGAGTATCTTTTGGGAGAGTTTGGGAACGAGTGCGGAGTGGGTTGATAGTAGAGAAGTTAACGGGCTGAGAGAGTCTCTTATGATAAGTGCTTTATTTATAGAAATTGATTCGGCGTATGTCATTTTTGCTGTAAAAATGCTGGTATCATCAGTTATTCCTGACTCTAAAAAAAAAACAACCAAAGAACCATAAAATAATAAAATACCTAAATACTATAATTACTGTATACTTATACTCTGGTATTCAGATTTCAGGTAAGTACCTATTCTATTTCGATTACTATTAGTAACCTGGTAACCATAGCCCATAAGCCATAGGTACCCACTAATTAATAAGAGGACGTGATACCCGCATGTGTTGTCTCCGTCTTACAAGTGTGTAACATAGCAAATTCTACGCAAAGCAGAACACATGTAGCTCCGTTAATTAAAAAATTAGAGTGAATTGACCTCTTATAAAATCTAAGGGTAAAATTATTATCTAGACAGCCTCATGGGCTTTTTATATTTTAATTTTAAAGCGAGCTATGAGTATTTTAAAATTCAAAATTGTTTGTACATTTTAAACTTTTTAAGTACTCATCTCACTTAAAAATTAAAATATAATAAAAAGCTCATAAGGTTGTCTAGATAATAATCTTACTTTTAGATTTTATAAGAGGTAAATTCACTCTAATTTTTTAACTAACGGAGCTACACATGTTCTGCTAATAAACACTGTCTAACCTAACCTAGTCATTGTATGAAATAATTCGATGGAGCATATTTTTATTTGTGAAACATTGTCTGTCCTGTATATTCATTTGAAAAATTCAAATTAAGTAATCAAAAAAAACTTTTATTTATGCTTATACTATTAAATATTTGTTTGGAATCAGGGGTTGAAAGGGGGGGGGATTGGCGCAGGAGGACTCTTACCTATGATGGCAGTTAAATAGCATCCCCTTTAACAAATTAGGATTTTATACATTAGACATTATACATAAAATTATAATATATGAAACGCTTAAAACTATATGGAGACATTAATCCCCTCTGGAATTTTTTCCCACTTTAACCCCTGTTTGGAATAGATTCAAATATTGATTTCTGTGTCAACTTCCGATTCTGTGCATCCCTCAGAGTCACCATGCTATCAAAACCGGTTCCCTAATGGCACAGTCCCTCGCTGAACAGAGTATAGTCATTTATGAGTTATTCAACTTTAATCGTATAGGTAGGATAATAGGATCATGATAATGGGTTTGGAAGACTGGTGAATGAATTCATTATCATTTATAATTTGTAAAAATGGTCCAATTATAATAAATACTAGACCCATTATTACATCCATTTTAATAACTGAGAAATAATTGTTTAATTTTTGAAATTTATTATTTAAGAAAAAATTGAGGGTGATCATACTTGGTGAATCACCCTGTATATATATATGTACATAATATTATATTTGTATTAAGACTTTCAACTTTCATTTTTAACGAGCAGCAATGATATTATCAGTGATAAAAAATATGTTTTATAGCCATTTATCCAACTTAACCTCAGATAAAACACCTTCTTAGGTACATTATAGTTTATTAAAAAAAATTCAATTTCAAAGTCAATGTTTCATAATAATCAGTGTTTAATATCACGTAGACACAATTTCCTGATTTTACTATTTAAACATTATTTTTTTATAGGCACAATTTTTATTTTAATCGGTGATTTACTTATTAGTTATTACTGATTGTTTATTAATAACACATAGTATTGATTAAACATACATTATATCATAATATATTAAACAAATGAATAAAGTATTTACTTTTAGTAGTAGTTATACTTTTAATTTTTTTTGTTTTTACTTTTTAATTTGTATCAATACTTCTGTTGCAAGACTCAACAATTGATAAATATTTATTTGTCATTTGCTTAACACTTGAATGAATAATTAATTGTATATAACAATTTTTTATAAACTTTTACGTATTATACAAAAATACAATTTCCTTAACGCTTTTGATTGATTAAAAGATTACCAAAAGATTTCCATACGAGGTAAATAAATAAAATCAGATTGATACCCATTTAAATATATAATTATTGTTGTTTTTTTTTTATAACTATAAATTATTCTTAATCTAAAAATAAAAATTGAGACAAATTAGAAAAAAGTGTAAGTAATTTCATTTACATAATTGTTAAAAAAAAAAAGTATTTAACTAGGTAAGTAATAAACAAAAGCAAAATATGATTTTAAAATATAGAGTAATTAAACTACTTAGTTATTGTATGATTAAACAAGCATCAATTTACACATTTAATAATAATTATGTTAAGAGCAACAAAGAGGGGTAGTGGCAGCATTGACAATCGAATTCAACTATATATCCTACAGTTTAAATACTTATAATTTTGAAATTATTTTAATATTTTTTTACTTTTAAGAATGAGAGAAACTTAATGAAATTATGATTCGACATCGTACACCATGTAATGGTTATAGTTATCAATAGCAGCATGTGGAACAATCTTGTTGAGCCCTGGAGGTTGTAACGAAAAGCCCAAGAACATGAAACCTCTGACCAGTACGTTGCGTTCAGGATGATTCTTGGCAAAGCAGACAATTATATGAGATACATTTAAATATTCTTCTGCATATTCCAGCATGGCCAAAAAACCTTCTTTTGATCCAACTGGTCTTTGAGCATCTGCCACCTAAAAGATAAACAAATTCAGTAATTCAACTATAGAACTTGATTCTGATTTCTATTCATGGTTTAAAGGCAACTTCACCCACATAATAATATCTTCCCAACTTATTTACTTAATATCTGTATGGATATTTAAAAATACTTCATTATGGTGTTAGATTTTGAACAGTGTTCACATATAAGATGAAAATACAAACTCCATTATAAACACTTTTGATTTGGAAGGATCAAGTTATGAGAAATGTATTTTATTATTTATGAACTATAAATAATATGTACTAGTAAGGATGGACCTACTATAAAATTGATTTTAGTTAATAAAATTAAAACACACAAGGGGACGCAAGTATATTATATTAATAACACATAAATTATGTCTATTTTTAAGTTCCTATAGGTTAATTTGAATTAAAAAGTACCGATAAAAATGAATGAAAATATATCAAAATTGAAGTATAAATATGATAAATAAGATAAAATTGGGACCTTTTCCGTTTATTCACTACCAACACTTTTTTTGGTTTTTCAAGTTTGTTGTATTTTAATATGTGATTTAAGTAAGTAATTAACATTTTTTATGATATTATATGATTATTTATGTAACTTTAATGTATTTTTCAATACATTGAAAAAGTTTATTTAATACAAGTCTAAAATAATAAAATGTAATACAATTATAGAAGGTACCAATATAATTTATTATAATGATAATGCTATAAAAATGTAATATTATAACTAGGTACACCTCTTGACCTCTTTCTTATTTTATGACTTACGCCTGTTTACATAACCTATTATTATACCAAAAAACTTTTGTTTTCATGTAATGTTCCTAATAAAAGTTCAAGTTATAAGTATCTATAGTAATTTTGGATATATTTATAAGTCTACTATATTTGAAAAACCATTGAGAATGAATGCCTATTATAACAAACTAACATTTTTTAAAAATTACCTCTGCTAATTACCTTTCAATTTATGATGAATAATTTATAATATGAACATTTTTATACATATTTATCTATACAATTTGATATAATCCATATCATCATTACACTAAAACTAAATAGTAAATTACTAAATTATAGCAAAAGCCAAAAATATGATCTTCTAAAAACTTGAAAATTAAATATATAGGTATATTATAATATGTACACTATAGAGGTATGTAAACTCCCTTCTATTTTTATGATATTATATGATTTTTATGTAACTTTAATGTATTTTTCAATATAATTAACATATTTATACTTCAATTTTGATATATTTTCATTCATTTTTTTTGGGACTTTTTTTCCTAGTGTGGGGCTTTTTTCAGATTACCCGTTAATTTAGTAAATTTGTATCTGACGCATCAGTTTTATAATCAACTAAAATAATATTTATCTTCTAAAAAACTATGCTGGTAACAATATTTGAGTTGGCCGATTTGAAGTTAGGTTTATATTTTTAAATATTCACAGCATGGAACGAATTGTTGTCTATAAATTAAAAAAATACTTAAACAATAAGTGATAAACACCAATAAAAAATAGAGATAAGAATGGATAGATACTAATAAAAACATAATTAAAATAAATTATAATATTTTATTGGATGTGATTTATTCATATAATAAATTCATACAATAATCAGCTCTGATAAAAATGTTACAATTGCCATAAATTGTGAGTAAAATATTAGAGGCAAGGATTAATATTAATCAGAATTCTGTAGGCACCTACCTACCTACAATTTAGATTAAAATTACTAGATAAAAATTTAAATCTAGTTAATAGTACTAAATACCCTAGTGGCTGATAATCACATCCATACATTAAGCACAAATAAAATATACGTTATACTTATAGATCTCATCCACTAACTATAAATGAAGTTTATTCCATACATTTATCACTTTAATATATATAATATAATACATATTTATACTCTCTTAAATTAAAGAATGGTTGGACCGTTACTGATGGACAAAAACTATACATCTATTCACCCTCAGTAGTCAAGTAAAATCAACGATTACAGAAATTATAAATGATAATATTTTTGAGGGTTTGATAAATTGGTTAATTTTTTTTTTTTTTTTGTAAAATATATAAACACATTTAATTATTATGAGATAATATTTAGATAGATAAATATGTCATACCATCAAAAATATTATTTTCTATAATTTTTGTATTTAATTATTTTACTCGTAAGGTTACTCAAAAAAAATAAATAAATGGGTACTTATCCTTTTCTCAAATATCATGTTATAATATAAAACATAAAACCAAAATCTACCTATCAAACTATTAAAAACATTATCACAGGTTTATAATATCAAACATTATCACACAAATAATAATAATAAATAGCGTCTAGAACTCTATTAATTTATTATTTAAATCGTAACCAGGTTTTGGAAATATTTTTCAACAAATTGTAGAACGGATCTCCATCTATATGTTGTCTCCTGATAAGCTCTGCCAGACAGAACTCCAAATGATTTGAAAAGATATTTTTAGGGCAAATTCCAAAGATCCATAATTATTTTAAGTAAAAGTAAATAGATACTAAATAATAACTGAATTGTGACCAGTGGTAGTCGAGGCATCGGAAAGGTAGTTGAGACTCATGGTGATCGAGATAACGCAGAAGTACCAATAATATAAAAGATTTTTGTGGATGCGTTTGTCTATGTTGTGGATGAGCCAGATAAAACAACCAGTGTGTGCTGTTGAACTTTTCAAATTCAATGTACAAAAGATCATTCGGTATACACGAAACTGACCATTCTACAGTGTATAGTAATTAGTAATTGTGTTAATTTTAACTAAAAATATAAATAAATCCAACAATAATAAATTCAAATTGCGTTTCCTAAAAGAGAGTAGTTTCTCTGAGAAATTCTACTCAACCACAAAATACTATAAATTTATATATATGGGAAATATTTTGCAATATTATAGGTATACTTAGTTAACCTATATTTTATATATCTTTATTTATAAATAATGTTATTTTTAAATTTAATTTAAACATGAACATCGCTCAGTAGGTCGGATATTCAAAAAATATTTTTATTATGTGAAATATTGAAATTCTATTGCCGGTAAACATGTCGTAGCATATAATAATATTGCTACTAAATAAATAACCATATATTATAGACTATAAGAATTATAAAAAAAAACACAGTGCAAGAGGGAGGGTATCCACCACTTTCATGTTCGCCACTAACATCACTACACTCCGGTCCATAAGAGAACATTACCATTTCGCGCCATGATGGTATGGGTTGTATACTTGTATATATATATAAATGCTGAACATTAACAGACCTTTGTTCGTTGGGGGGGGGGGGGCGGTAAAGTTTTCTTGTGAGCTGAATATAGAATAAAAATATTAGGTATTAAGAATGTTTTATGGAATTATCATTTCAGCCAAGAAGACCTTACATAGGTAATTAATTAATGGAAATCAGATAAACATATTAAAATTTTTCAAATGTATACAGAATTAAATAAGTGACACTGAAATTAGTTTTAAAAGGTAGTCAATAAGTAATGTATGCAGTACAGTGAATCAAGAATTGTTGGACAAATAGTTACTATATTTAATTGAGCAAGAAACTGCTATATCAATGAATGCTGAAGATATAAACTCGGAAAATTACACACAATAATTAGCAAGTAAAAGAATAAAAAATAAAAATATTAAAAATTGTTTATCTGTGTTCTTTATTTAGGTACCTTAATGTTCTTTGCATTTTACTTAAGTCATACAATTTTATTTACGGCTAATCTACTATTTGTCATAGGTGGCAAGTAGGTATAATAAAAAAATAAGTACATTAAACTTTTTTTCTTTGATTTTGTACATCATTAAATTTATTCAATTTAATTACCTGTATATCTACCTTAACATAACATAGACTAAACAATAGTAATACAAATAAACTTGTATGGTTAAAAGATAAATAATAATTAAAATATATAAATATTAAAATAATTGTGTCCAATTAAATGCTGGCAGATAGTATAAAATATATTCAGCAACAAGGACAAAAAGTTAAAAAATAATAATAATTATAGCTAAGATAAAAATAAAAAGTACCTAATAATCTCACAATATTATCAATAATATACATTAGAATGGTAAAATAATTTAGATAATTTAATTGACTTATAAGAATTTGTTAGCAGGTTAGGTAGGTAGGTTGATAAATTGATTAAAAATATTAAGTATCACCTATTTATAATTAAAAACGTGTTTAATATTTTAATAAATTATATTGATTAACTAGGTACCTACCTAATAACCACTGATATTTTATACTACCGATAAAAAATAGATTATATATACGATATACCTACTGAATATACATTTTGCTTATAGTTTAGGTACCTATATACCTAAAATTATCTATAAACTTTGATAATTAATTCATTAATTTGTATGGGTACACAGGTTAATGAGAGGTACTGTATTTAAAATAGACACAATTTTTTTAAATATAAAGTTTAGGTAGAATTTTTGGGTTTTATCAAATAATTTAATATTTCAATAATATATTATTATAAAACTTAAATAAATAATAATTGTTAACCGCCAAAACCAAGTTTCACATATTATGATTAAGCTCTTTTGGAGCCTGTGTACTTAGGTAGGTACACAAACCAATTCAAAATTTTAATGATAATACGAGTAGGTAATAATTTTTTTAAAAAACATTAAAATGGCTTATGCAGAAATATGCAATTACTCTATACCTAATACAAGATAAGATTTATCAAGTTTTTATTTAGGTATTGGTAGGTACATAAACCTTTCCAAGAGATGGTAAATCTAATTTAGAAAATGTTAAAGTTAAAAGTTCCACGTAGCTAAGTATTAGGTACTAAATAATACGTCAGTACCTACCATGAATTAATTACAGTTAGTTTTTTTTTAAACTTAATTTGTGGCGCCTAGTGCCTACCCAATGTAAATTAGAAAACATGTTCCGAATATATTATTGCACATAGAACCTTTTTTTTTTTCAGTTTGTAACCGACGGCGCTGCGGGAATTTCTTTCCCATTACTACCGCGGCGTCGCTCTTACACATAGTACCTATAATAGGTATATAGAATATACATCTACTTATCACATCATAATATTAAATTGTGGAAAACAATAAATTTCCTGCTAACATTCCTTAGATATAATTATATTATGAATTTTGTAAACACAATATCAAAACAGATAAAATTTGTTATCATGACCTTGAACGAAAACATGTATCGAATCGTTTAGCAACACAGGAAAGGAAAACCACATAATACACATTTAAACTAGAATCAATTAATTCAGAATCCCATAACGGTAGGTTGAGTCAATAGGGTATATAATGTCCGTCATTCCAAAAACGTTGAGGTCGCCCACCCAGTAACGGTGTATATAGGGCGACAACCATGTCCTGCTAAGAATACCTACCTACAAGTTACAACTCACCTGTATGTAGAGCTTGCGACCGGACAATATTGTATCCCATTGTATGTCCACGTCAGCCGTGATCTGCATCCCAAACGTAATCCGTACAGCATAATGATTCTTCACGTCCTCCAACAGTTCGTATTCATGCACTGGTTGTGATCCCAGTACAGAGAGCTCCGATTGAATAAGCTTGCCCATGCCGCTGCTGCCCTCTCTGTTGCGTTTGGCTACAATGGCGGCATGGGGGACATCAGGACCACCACTGAGGCCCAGGGCAAAGAGAGATGGAGTATTGAGAGTGCTCGGTGTCGGACACCGAGTTCTCCAAGCCGTAGCATGCTGTCTGCCAGTCGCACATTATTGACAACAGGCTGTTGTTTCTCATGTTACTATTACCGTTTTTACTACTTGATATTTTCTCCATGGTCGTGCGGCACCCTTAAAACCTCCACAGCGAATAATTGAAAAACGAAATGTTCGTCGAAAACTTGAGACGTGTGTCCGAGAGTGTGTTAAGCACCAGCGAAGTTCTTGTGCGCCCAGATGACAACGAAGGAATAGACAAAACACCGTAACAAACAGTACGAGATCAACACAATGGACGGGGATTTTTTCTTGTTCATGCGACACGGTCAACGGGCGAGAGGTGGATGGTGCGTTCGGCGCCGCCCACCCGTGACGTCACGGCGTTCCTCTTTACAGCGGCTGTCCATTGTTCTGTGGTTCTATGCCATTGTGTCACGTCACAGCGCCACCGGTCCACGCGTTTCTTCCATGACGGTCCCGCCGGATTCTGCTTACCTAGCGCACTGTTATTCGCCGCCGCCGGACTTGGACGACCAATAAGGGGGGCCGCGGTTCCCCCGCGGCCCCCGCATTCCCGTCGACAAGTTATTGAGATCAAAAGGTCATCCAATCGCACGATAACGCAGCGAAACACATGACGTGCGCGCCCACGGCTGATTCGATTTCGATAAACACCCGTCGGCCATGGCCCGTTTCCCTTTACCCCTTACCGCCACAACACAAGAGTCTACACTCTACACGTGTTCGGCGCGGCCGGCGGTGTTTCGTTGTTCGTTCATATGAGAAAAAAAGAGAACCGATAATAATTATTAATTCGTTCCCTTTCACCTTTTGGTTTGGTATTGCGGCTCGGCTAGCGTTCTCAGATCGAAACTTTGTTGTAATAGGTGCTTATCACCGAAGTCGCACGTACACACTGCTCGACGGCGCTTGTGCGTACGGTTTACCTTCCTGACCTAACAATTTTATTAGTCTTCTCAAAACTGAAACATTCTATAATCTCTTTTCTGTGCAGTAAGCCAGTATTCACTATTCAGTAAGCAGTTGCACTTTGCAGCACTACAGTACAATTAAAGTGTGTGCTTCCCAAAATCTTGTTTTCTGCTTAGGTACCTTGTAACGTGCCCGCTGAAGGTCAACTTTCCGAACGTTCTCTGCTTAGTAAGTTGTTCGTTAATATAAATTGTTTAAACAGTTTTCTATACCGTTCGAAATCGTAAACACTGACTTTCTAATTCAAATTTTCATTAGGAATTTAAGTACCTATTTATACATTTATATAGGTTCGACAAACTTTATTATATGCATGACCAAAACAATTGATTTTATGAAAATCAATACTGTTACCTACCTCAGTCTTGCGAGTTGCGATACTAGTGAACTTATAATAGTCGATACTTGAAACTCCAATTACAATAGCAATTTAATGTGTGGATAAATTTTAAATAATAATTATTAACATTGTGGAATGTGGGAATTGGGAAATGAATAAAATTTGTATTTTATGGAGTAGGTAAAAATTTCCCAAATCATTCTCACTAAAAGTACATTTTCATATGAAATCTTCTATTTCAATGGATTTGTTCCTATGTACCTTGACTCATTGCAAAGGTTATTTTGTTTAATCTAACTTTTATTAATTTGGACCCAGAGCCTCAGTCTGGATTAATAGAGGTTCTATACTGTATATTCAAATTAAAAAAAAAAAATATTAGATTATTTTTTATTTTTTTTAGAAAATGGCCAAAACATTATCCTGTAAAATCGGTCCATCTATTTTGAATGCTGATTTATCGCAGTTGTATAATGAATCTCAAAAGTTGATAGATAGTGGAGCAGATTATTTACACTTGGATGTTATGGATGGAACTTTTGTTCCTAATCTAACTTTTGGACATCCAGTAGTGAAATGTCTAAGGACTAAGTTACCCAACGCTATATTTGAAACACACATGATGGTTCAAAATCCACTTCAAGTAAAATATGATAGTATAAAATCTGTCTCAGAGTAGAATATACCGGTGCATATACCAGCATATACCTATGCTGTGGTGGATGCACACTGCATGACAGAAACAGTTTGCCACCTGGTGTATTCTACTTTGAGAGTATAGAATAAATATGCATGTATAAGTTATTGTGTATAATGCTTAATATACCTGTTTTTTAAAATTATTTATTAGTGGATTTCTGCTATGGCTGATGCTAACGTAGATCAATACACATTTCACATTGAGCCATGTGATGATGTTCCTTTAGTATGCCGTAAAATCAAAGAAGCTGGCATGAAAGTAGGCTTAGCAATAAAACCTGGCACTCCGGTTACATGTGTTGAAGAATATATAGATATGGCTGATATGATTTTAGTGATGACGGTTGAACCTGGATTTGGTGGTCAGAAATTTATGACAGACATGATGCCAAAAATAGAAATGTTGAGAGAAAAATATCCTACAATGGACATTGAAGTTGATGGAGGTATTGGTCCAAATAACATTGATGTTTGCGCTAAGGTAAAAAGTATACTATACAATAAAATACATTTTTCACTAAATATTCTTTATTCCGTTTAGGTTTAATATATGACCTACCTTTTTTTTTTCTTGTGACGACAGCTTTTTTTTGCATATGCACTATGACTACTCTATGACTGTTCAGAGGGAACTTTTCCTTGCGGCAGTCCTATCCCCCGGGTGTAACATATGTGACCTACCTGGAATACTGTATTACTGTGATCTACCAACCGTGAATTAAAAAATATAAAAATATTTGGTATGAAAAACCCATTAAAAGAATAATTGGATATATTACTCCGACTAGGGTGTGAGGATACATCCCATATTTCAACATTGTGTCCAGTTACCCTGACCAAAGTCAGTAGCGACTATCACGTATCTGTAAATGTGCTCAAGCACCTCTTTCATAATTGGGGTGGGTGGGCTATAACTATTGGGTCTTTAACCCGTCAGTGGTCGCGATGTGAGCGCGGCGCTCACCTCGTTAGTATTTTGAGAGCCATTTGTTTATTTATTACTTGATTCATCTGATACTATTTATACCTTCAATCGACACATATTTAAGTATACTTTTGCAAATATAAAAATTGTATAAATAATTCTTGATTAGATATCGACATGCAATGTTCTTAATATCCATAAATTCAGCGTTTCACTCACTCAATAGGTCAACCAAATACTTTTTCGTAAACTCAGACCTATTTTTAAGTAGCACCCAACATTTATATGTGTACTGTATAATAATCAGCAAAATATTCCAGACCACTAAGGCGAAGATGAATGATAATGATTATCTTATTATATAATTATGTATAAAAAATTATAAATTAATTTTTAGTGGTTAACAATTTATAATCGAGAAAAATTGTAAGAACATTTTTTGTAAAAGATTAAACTATAAATAATTTGTTGTTGGTTTCAATATTTTATGTTCATTATATAATAAATAATGATGAAATACAACAAGGTGAGGGCAGCGCTCACTCAATACCAATGGCGGGACTTTACATAGCGATACCAACGACGGGTTAAAATAAACTTTTTGTGAAATGAGTAATTTTTTTAGGTTACCCGAAATACTGGTAGGGGGTAGGTACTAGTTCATTTTAAGTGAGCACCTGTTATATTTGTCGAGATGGCCGTCATTGACCAAAGTTATACACCACATTTGCATTATTTTTAAGGCATCAACTTCATGGTTATTTCCCGGTTTTTACTGTGTCCTCCCTCCCGGGTACAGTTTACTTAGAATAATATTTGTATGTGTGAATCTCTATAGTGGTCAAACCATTTAATTCTGTAACAGTCAAACTAATGGCAATTATTTTTTATAGGCTGGAGCAAATATGATTGTGTCAGGAACCGCAGTGATTCAAGCTAAAAATCCACCTCAAGTTATTCAACTTCTTAAAGATTCTGTTAATAAACATTTAAATATAAAATCAAATTGATAATTTTATTTTTGAATGAAGTTAATTTTATTAATATTTAACATATTTATGAAGATCAAAGATAGGTGAAGTGAATTACCCAAAATATAGAATCCAAATATTAATACCAATTTTTTTTATTATTTATTATTTTATTCAAAATGTAAATTACTATATTTAATTTAATAAGATTGAAGTTCAAAAAAGATAAATTGACCCATCTATCCATAATTTAAATTACCATTAAATGGAAAATAACACTGATTATAATTTTTTCAATATTATTTTATGTTGATTGTATTGTCTTGATAAATTTTAATATAAAAAATCGATAATTCTTGTACTTGTATGTATGAAATTTGGTATACTCGTAATAAATGTTGATTTATACATTATATTAATTTAAATTATTTAAAAAAACATCATATGATCATATTATGATGTAATGCTTTTAACTACAAAACACTAGAACAAGATTTAACCAAAGCTAGAAATTGTTTCCATAATTGAAAACAATAATGTTGATCACACTTAATAATTACTACATATTTAGTAAAAAAAAAAGGTGGACAAGTGGGTGTCACTCTGCTGTACAGTAGGTTGCAAGTGGGTCACTGTAATGGATGGTACTAAATTTGAATTCAATCATAATATTATGATTGTATAAGAAAAACGATTCTAAGCAAAAAACAGTCAGTCAGCCTATGATATTACTTAGTACATTTGATTATATTATTGTGAATAAAGTAATTTATATATTTACCTATTTATGTGGCACCTTGTTGTACATTTTCAATCCTTAGATATAAATGTTGAACATTTTATACATTTTTAACTACAAAATAGTTGTTAAATTTTAAATTTGATAAATTATGTCAAAATTCAAACTTAAATGCTTATAAAAAAAAATTGTAACTGTATTTTCAATATTTTGCAACTGCTATTTTAACGATATATTAGGAGCCTTGCATTAAATTTTCACGCTTTTTTACCTAACAAATAAAATTGTATTGATATTTATAGAAATCGATAATCAAAACCGATTTTGAGTAAAAGTTCCTGTTTTCCTTTAATTTTTCTTTTCTTTTTCTAACGCTTTTGATGACTATTGGGAATTTTTACTTTTGACCCCTTAAAGTACCAACTAGATTCACTTTCCAATCAGAAAAGATATTTTTGAAGAAAATCTAAGCACTTTTACTGTCCTAAAAAAAAAGGTGACGAGATACAAAAAAAACACATTATTGTAAAATCAATACATTCATCCCGCTCAGAATCTAAAAAAATATGTAAATAATATCCAAATAATATTGAACACATTTCCAAAATAACTTTTATACTATACTGAGCAATATAATTAATAATGTGCAAATTATTTAAATTTTATTCAAAACATTCAAATATTTAATCGATAACATATAAGTAGAGCGCGGATTTTTATGCACTTAAAAGTATTGAAATATGCCATATAATATGCAGTAAAAATCATGAAAATATGCAAAAAATATGCAGTAAAAATCATGAAAATATGCAAAAAATATGGAGTCAAAATCATAAAAATATGCAAAAATCTTTTATTTATTTAAAATTTACAATACAACTTATAATAATTAATTACTTAAAAAGGTACTTAATAAAAAAAAATTTAGGGAATTTTCTGAAAAACTTAATTAATAAATTTGTTATTAAAATGAATAATCATGTGCGTTCGACGTCAACCGAAGTTATTGGGGAATATTTGAAGCAACCTAGTATTGTCGGGTCTTGATTAAGATCTTGGAGCCGAACGTTTTCGCCTAATAACACTGAATTAATTTTTCGTAGAATCTTCAGACCTTCATTTTTGTTGGAAAGCTCGTTTAGTTTTATTGCAAGTGTTGCACCTTCAATCCAGGGATAGAATTAATTTATTCTTTCGTTTCGTTAATTATTGAAATGTTTTCATGTAAAGTCATATTTTGAGTTTCAAGTTTTTTTATGACTATCACGATTATTTATCTTATAAAGGCTTAAATAAATATATATATTATATATACATTATTATTTAGTGACTATGAAATTTAGTTTTAATTTTTCTACTTGACAAAATATTATTTTCTACATTTTTTTTAAATTTTCGCTTCAATATACAATACTTTTAAATTTTGCCAAAATATGCAATAACCTTTAAATATGCAGAAATATGCAAATACAATTTTCTCCATTAGCTTCAAATTATGATGATTCGTGGAGATAACTGACAACAACCCAAAAATATTAAAAGGAAAAAAATATGCAATCGCATAAAAATCCGCGCTCTACATATAAGTGTCTTAATTCAATTTAGAATAAGATTATCAATAACCTTTTGATGTAGAACTGTTGGAAATAATTTTTAATTGTTACTTATTATAAATACTATTTATTATTTAATAATTATGATCACATATTCTTATTTAAAATCTTTCAACATACTATCATGTACATAACAAGTCACTTGAAGTCAGTAATTCACAGAAAAAAACATAAGCTCACTATACTTCAACAGTTATCATATTTTTGAGAAATACATGTACCTACTGCAGATTAGTAATTATTGTACTCTATTGTAACTTACATGGAATCAATGCAGAAAACAATAGTTTCTGTAGTATCTATAAAAAGAAAAATCCTATCGATCCAGCTACACTAGACGAACTTGAGATTTTGGTAAGTCATCAATCCTTTGACATTTATTAACGAAATTGAAGTAGCCGGTTAAGTTTAGTTTTTATTCTATAAATGTTAATACAATTATTTATTTGTTGGGTAAAAAGCTTGATGTATACACGCAATTTTCTAATTTTGTTGTAATTCAAAATTGAATAACCGTAGACACTTGAGTTTTATATCATATGTTATTTTATCAATTCCTCAATCAATTTAAATTTTTAAATTTTTGAAACGTAGTTTCTTATGGCGCGATGTGAACGGAGGGACCCTAGCCCAGAAAAACCGTGCACACTGAAAATAAAAGCGTTAGTCGCTATCTCTCTTACTCTTTACCGATTTCTATATACTCCTATCTCTCTCGCTCTACGGCCAGCTACGTTGTTATTATATGGTTCTAGGTCACTTTGTACGGTCGAGCATTAAAAGTGCGAAACGCGGAAACTTTGTACGGTCGGGTAAAAAGGTACATTGCAGAACGCGGACATTTTGTACTATTATATACGTAAAGTATATATATTATACATTTCTATTTTAATAATTACAAAGTGTCCGCGTTATACATTTTGAAATTCACTCTAATTTTTAAATGAACGGAGCTAAATGTGATCTGCTGATCGTAAAATTTGCTATATTGCAAATGTGTAAGACAGAGACAAGTAGACAACATAATATGTGGGTGCGACGTCCTCGTAATAATATTATTATTTATTATATTATTTTACGTACGCGTACTACAACAACATATTCCTCTTCCTACATCTGTAACCTATAAGACTGCCAAAGAAACTACGTTTTTACCGGGTGTTCCATGACAGCACTCACTTTTTTTTTCTATAAATATCAATAAAATTGTATTTGTTGGGCTAAAAAGCGTGAAAAATTAATACAAGGTTCCTGTTTATCGCTACAATAGCAGTTGAAAAATATTAAAAATACACAGGCACAATTTTTTTTATAAGCATATAAAGTTCAAAATTTGTCAAAATACGTAAAAATTACGAAAATGTGCAAATTAGTTAGTTATATTTTAAACTTATTATTCGTGGGTACTTACTTGAAACTTCTAAATTAAATTGTTTTTACTTACTATAATTAAATGTTATTACTTATTTATTTTATTAATTTATGTTTAGGGTGAGTGGTGTTCTACAGGAGAACCACATAACAAAGTACTGTTACTTGATGATAACGGGAAAGAAGCAAATGAAAGGATAGTGATGTTTGCAACATATGAAGGGCTTGTCAATTTAACAAGTTCTTCGAGATGGTATATGGATGGGAACTTTGCTTTGGCTCCAAAACTATTTACACAACTGTTTGTTATACGTGTAGAAATCAATAAAAGTTTTACAACGGCGGTATATATTCTCTTACAGAATAAAACTTTGACTGCTTATGAGCAAATGCTCACTACCTACTATTTTAAAAAAATGTGAAGAACAACATTTATTTCCTGATCCTATGGTAGTACATGTTGATTTTGAACGTGCAGTTATCACAGCCATCACACATGTTCTCGGACAACATGTACACATTCAGGGTTGTTTCTACCATTTAACTCAATCAACCTATAGGAAAATACAAGAGTTAGGGCTCCAGACACAATACAGAGAAGATCAAAAATTAATTGAATTTTGTGGAAAAATGGATGGCTTGGCATTTTTACCAGTTGGAGATGTCAAAGATGGTATGGCATATTTAAAAAATATTGTTCCTGAAGAGGCTGAAACGTTATTAAATTATTTTGATACAACATACGTTAATGGCAAATACAGGCAAGTTAGAAATGAAAATAACAGAATAGTCTTAAGAAATTGCCCACCTATTTTTCCTCCAAATTTATGGAACGTACACGACTCAACTTTAAATGATGAAGAACGCACAAACAATTCAACGGAAGGATGGAACAATAGATTTAGTAAATTGGTAGGACAAACACATCCAACAATTTGGACTATTATAGCTAAAATAAGGTTGGAAGTGGCAGCTGATGAGACAAAGCTAGCCCAAATTCAATTAGGAGTACCACAACAAAAACGACAAAAAACGGTGTACAAAAAAATACAAATCCAATTAAAAAAATTATGCGAGGATTATGATAATGGTATCCGTGATATTGAAAACTTTTTAGCTGCTATCTCCTATACAATAAGATATCGATAACTTACGATTTTTTTTATTATTTTATTATTTTTACTTTATTTGACTGTAGACTGTTTGTATTGACCATGTATTATATAATGTATTTGACTGATTTATGTTAGTATTGACAATTTTTAAAACGTGAAACTTATTTTAAATTATTACTTATATTATTGTATTGTGACAAATTTTTAAAAAGTATTTAAAAATTATAAAATGTTAATTTTTTTTTATTATTTTATTATTTTTACTTTATTTGACTGTAGACTGTTAGTATTGACTATGTATTATAATGTATTTGACTGACTTATGTTTGTATTGACAATTTTTAAAACGTGAAACTTATTTTAAATTATTACTTATATTATTGTATTGTGACAAATTTTTAAAAAGTATTTAAAATCTATAAAATGTTAATTTTTTTTAATTATTTTTACTTTATTTGACTGTAGACTGTTTGTATTGACTATGTATTTGACTAATTTATGTTTGTATTGACAATTTTTAAAACGTGAAACTTATTTTAAATTATTACTTTTATTATTGTATTGGACAAATTTTTAAAACGTATTTAAAAATTATAAAATGTAAAATTTTTTAAACAGTTTAACCTATTTGAAATTATTATTATTATAATTATTATTATTAATATATATTTAACAGGTAGAACACTTGGGCAGTTGGATTATTGATCAAAATTTTTAAGTAGACAATTAAAACTTAAGTTTAATGAAATATGAATTAATATAGCAAAATATAAAAATTTGGTTTTTATTTTCATGGTTTTTTTTTCTTTTGGTTTTTATTTCCGTGGTCTTTTTTTCCTTTGGTTTTTTATTTTTTGGTTTTTTTTTTTTGGTTTTTTTTTCCTTGGTTTTTTTTTCCGTCTACCGAATATTGACATAATAGATGATCAAATAGTTGGGTTTCTCAATATTAAATATTCATAGTTAAATCCAACCATTATTCTATCCACATTTGAATAACAAATTAAAATACCTAAGTACAATTTATTATTATAATTATATATATATTTGTATAATTTATAAATTAACACTGTAAATTGTAAATGAATATATACATTGCAAAATCAACCAAATATGTTTTAATCAAACCAAATTAGTTTATAATAAGACATAATTAATGTTATTCCTTAATTAATTTTAATCATGAGAATCTTACATTATTCTAATAATATAAACTATTCAATTTTCTTCAATTTCAAAACAGCTTCTCTCATTTTGGTTACCTCATTCTCCACCACATCTTGACATAATGTTCCTTCTTCATCAAAATAATTTGCAACCGATTTGGATATTTCACGTTCCCTGACATCTGCTCCAACAGCATCTTTGCGCACCATGGTTAAATAATACATGCCAGTATGTTTTTTTATATAGCTGCTGGCTTCCCAAACAACATCTGGATTAAAACCGCTTTCATCTCGTTCTAAAGTCACGGCAAATATGCCTTTTTCCATGTATGTTGTGTATAATGTGATTGCACCCATGGTAATGAAATATAAAGCAACACATACCGTAAGAACAAAACGCGATTTTGGGAATGGATTGAAGAAATCCCAACCAAGTGCAAATCCAGCGACTAGCACAGCAAATGAGCATATCAGCAAACGACAGTCAATCAAAGAAAAGTCCTCGACATGATTATATTTTGTAATTAATACTTCCTTCACTGCGTCATCGAGAGTATTTTTTAAAGCGAGGTAGTCCCATTTATTGATCTTGATTTTTTTATCGTCTGTAATTGATTCCTCTTTGCCCATTTTAACTTAAATTAATTAACTCGTAGATTGCTTTAAATATGTTGAGATGATTTGATACCTCTCGAATATTAGGTGTATTCTGAACAATAGGTGTAAATGTATAGTCCAATGTAGAATGAATCGTTTTACAATATTGCAAAAGTTAGTAGAGCCAGTTGGCAGTTGTGTTTACAAATTGGTGTTTGGTGCACCTAAAATAATAAATATTCCCAGTGACGACTCAATTGATGAATCACCAAATATTTAAAATGTTGATAGCATTATCAATAAGCGTAAACAAAATTACGGTGTTGCCACGGAATAGATTAAATTTAATTCACGTCGTGTTGCCATAAAAAAAGAAAATGAGTAAATTCAAATATAATATTTTTGAACATTTTACTATTTTAGCGGCTGAGAAGTGAGAAGGCCAGAAGGGCCCCAATGATGTCCTATTACTAAGTTTACAAAGTTTTTTAGTTAAGAGAAAAACCTTATTCAAATACGTTTAATACAATTTGTATGGAATATTCATTCGAATGATGTACACCTAGGTAAAAACTAAAAAGTATACCTATTCGATTATTCAATAATCGTATTTGATAAAATATATTAAAACACTTTTTTTAGTATTGGCATTATTTGACATTTGATCCGTGGAAGCTAATGACTAATGAGTCATAAATAATGAAGATTATCTAGGTTTTAGGGTTGACTCAAAAAAAGATAGGCAGGGTCTTTCAAATTTCAAACTATTATTTTAATTTTTTATTACAACACAGCTAGGATATACCCAAATTAATACAAGATAGTAAATACATACAAAATATAATACATTATACCATTGATTATAAATAGTATTTGTAATCAATGATTATACGTACAAAAATACAAAATAATTAAATTAGAGTTGATGGATCCATATTCTCTATACTCGTCATTCTATTTTTTTATTTAATACCTAGTTGATTTTTTAAATAATGGGTATTGTTGCATATAGGTAAAGAAAATAAGTTCATGTGGCACGTATTAAAAGTTGGTGAAAGCCGGATCATTGCTGGAATTGAGAGGTACGCGGAGGATTGGAGTCCTTCTTTCTTTGAAGAAAATATTTATGTATACCCCTTCTAATTATATCCAAATCAATAAGATATTTCAATATTCGGGTATGCACATATTTTTTACAGCACCCCCTTCTAATTTTTTCCCAATTCAAGTATTGCACCGGATGGTACATCAATAATATCAGATTTAACCCCAAGCACATTAACAAGTTGCTACGCTCACGAAGATAAGATCTAAACCACAACATCAGTGGTTCACCAATTTTGTAAAAGAAATTAGTTATAGATATGTGCTTTCCTATAAAGGTAGGTATATTATATTATGTATAACTTATTTTAGTAGGTGCCGATTATTATTATAACAATTTAGTTTTATAATTAGTAATAAGTTAATAATTAGTAATATTTAGTTTATTAATTAGTATTAATAATTTAGTTTTTTACAACTATGAGGCTCAAAAAAATATTTAACCCGGCTATCCGCTATCCGAAAGCCTAAATCCAGCCCTGCAGGTGATAGGTATACCTATGATAATATAGTAAGTACCTACGTACTAGTTACTACTTACTAGTTACTACTTACTACCTATATTATATAGTAGGTAGGTTTATACTATAATATTATATTATACGAGTAGGTGCGTACAACTGCAGTACAAACATAATATATAGTAATCAAATAAAAATCAATTTTATGCGAATTCATACCTATAACAGAGTATAATATTTATTAATCATTTTCCTACTGATGCCTCACCAATATAATGCAACTATTATTTTGGTTTATTCGTTCAGAGGTGTGGCTAAAAATCAAATATTTCAAACGAATAACGATGCGTCTATCTTGCCACTTGTCGCGGTGCATACAACAATGTTGGACGGCATACAATACCATAATCGGTAGGTACGAGGTACCTACTTATAAACGTGAATTTCAAACGATGCTGTGTACGATAAGACACGCTTGATTAACTTCCGGCCATGAAAGACGACTGTAACGCTTGTTCCTATTCCTTCCGCTTGTGGAATTATAGGTACCTGTTGGCTGTTTCCAATGATTCCATATTACGTGCTGAATATTACATTATTTTAATATCACACCTATACCACGGTCCACGGTATTAATATAATATTACAGTCAATAATATAACAATATAGGTATTTGATAAGGTTGTCTAAAATACTAAAATCGTGAGAAAATATTAGATTTATTTAAAATATTGAACCAAAAATGTATGTACTTGAATACTTAAATAGGTTTTCAGACGTATTTAGAATTTTCGCTTCACAGTCCTATTTTATTTTTCCTACTTGGCTACGTCTCCCACCCATACTTTAAAAGGTTAACATTTAACTACCTATCAATAAACTTGATCATATTAAAACACTGCAGGGATTTTAATTTATGATTCGTCAATGCATAAAATAAGATGGTATTATTAAAAAAGATCGTTACACTCATCGTTGTAAAATCAATACATTCATCACCACTCTCAGAATCTAAAATAATAATATTAAAGGTAATTGCGGGTAGATGGTGACATGGTGCAAATGTGTTATATAATATAGGTACCTATACAATAAATGATGATATGTATTGCTGTCCCGTCGCCAATAGGATGTCGTTCCTTCATACACTAGTATAGTACCTACTCATAGATACACTGGTACCGGTTTCCGTATTTCGAGCTGGTCGTGCCGTGCATATATTTATTTTTATTTCGAAACATCTCGCCAGCGCACGCCGCACGGTAGCCTAAAATATATTACCGTTTTTTTAGGTGTGGTACAACTTTAATGTATAAACTCCAGTGGCATGGTTTTTAAATAAATTATGCATAGATACAGATTTACACTAGCTATGGGCCCAAACAGTTTTTATTTGTATGAATCATTTATTATTTAATTACATTATCTAGACACCATACCAGGTTATCAACATATTATAAGTAGTAAGTATACCCTTCGACAATATTTTTTTTTTTTTAGAAAATAATAGTCAGGTACCTTTAAAATTATGTATAAGTTAAGAAATTATTTAATTTTAAATAGAGTAGGCAGAATGCCAGAATTTATTCTATATACCTATCTATTCTATTTAGGTATATATTCACATTAATTCATAGAGAATTCATAAAAATACTGTAGTAATAAAATTATTTGTGAAGTTCAATTTTTGTTGTTCAATATTATATGTATAATATATGTATTTTTAGGTTTGAATGTTAATCCATAGCGATTAGATAATATACCATTAATATTATAGATTTATAACCCATTTGTATATAATTATTATTATATACTATATAGGTATCAGTGGCGTAATTACGGGGGGGGGGGATTTGGGTGTCGTATCCCCCCCCTTGACCATTTTTTTTTTTTTTTTTTTAATCGTCAAACACATTTATGTACTAATTTTATTAATATATATTTCATAGATAATACAAAAATCACCCGAATCTCCATAATATTATACAAATATATAATCATCCATCAATATTATCATATACAGTGTGATCACGATTTTAGGTACCACTGAATATCACAGATGGATGACTTTGTATTGAAATGGGGTTTTCGGGAGGTGATAGGAGCACTTAAATACATATTTTCAGACCAGTTTCAAATTTTTAGCTCACTCGGTACGCGCATGCCGCATGCGCAATATTACTTTTTTTTAAATGGCAACCCCAGTTTTTTCTGTAGATTCAGGTAGAGTATTTATTTTTGAATATTTATGCATAATTCGTGTTTAATGATATTTTCATTTATAACCAGTTGAAATAATAAAATAAGAGCCAAATAAATGTTTAATGGCGGACGGAAATCGGCCACAACCGACGCCTTAGTCCACTCAGCCACCCCCCCCCCCCCCTAATCAAACATTTATTTGGCACTTATTTTATTATTTCAACTGGTTATAAATGCAAATTGCATTAAACACGTATTATGAATAAATCCAAAATTTGACTTTCTCTAACTTGGTCAGTTTTATAAATAGAAAAACTTTCAATACAAAAAATGTTTAAAAAAAAAATACTCTACCCGAATCTGTAGAAAAAAAGTGGGGTTGCCATTTAACAAAAAGTAAGTCAAATTGCGCATGCGCATACCGAGTGAGCTAAAAATTGTAAACTGGTCTGAAAATATGTATTTAAGTGCTTCCTATCGGCTATCACCTCCCGAAAACCCCATTTCAATACAAAGTCAGCCATCTGAGATATTCAGTGGTACCTAAAATCGTGATCACACTGTGATACAATTATATTCTTTTAAAATAGCCAAAATGAGATGCTAATATTCTCTTAAAAAGTTGAAAATATTCTTCCAATATTCTTTAAAAATAATAATAAAATATGCAAAAAAAAATGCTTTTTTATTTAAATATTCTCTTGAACTAAAAATATGCATTTATATGCAAAATAATTAAGCAAATAATACGAACTCATATAAATAAATAGGTACATAATATGCAAAATAATATAAAAACCTGATATAAATATAGGTACCTACATAATAAAAAATACTACTTGTTAAGAAAAGTTTGATTTAATATTTAATTATTTTAAATTTTTAACTAAGAAAATTTTTGAAAACAGTTGACAACTATATTTTGTTCCATGTTCCCTGATGTCATATTTGTACAACGGTCGGTTAAAATGTTTTTATATGTGCTATTTATATTATTTAGGCCACTGCAACAAAAAATATCGAACATCTACAAAAATTAATCGATATATTCTCTAATATTTTTTATTATACGAAATATTCTTTTATCTTGAAATATTCCCAAATATGCAAAATAAACTTTTGCCATTAACTCACCTGTTTCATGATTTGTAAAGATTTCGAACCCCCGAATGACTGCATAGACTCAAAAAAAATATGCAAAAGAATATAATTCCGGCTACTAGTTATTACATACAGATCATAATGGTTGTATTCTTGTATTGAGGG